TGAATGGGTTTTGATTGGGATTCTTAAAAGTCACATGATGAGGTCCCCAACGTGGAGGAAGATCAAAATCTCAACATGTGATGTGAGGGGCTTCACGTGAACATGGCACAGTAAGATGTCATGAGCCAGGTGTCACATGTCACGTGTCATAACGAGATTGTGGGTTCACTTGAGCTTTTCGTTTGACAGACTGTGTATGCACGTGGCACAGCCTTTTAAACAAGAAAACGAAGTTGATGTTTGTGTTGTTTTCTGGGAAATTAAAAGAAAAGAGAATTAAAACATGTCCAAAGATTTAGCAGCGTGACCACACTGCCTTTTTTAGAGACAAGGATTGTCTGTCCTCAATTTTCGGTGTTTTTTTCGTGCCCACTTATTTTGTGTGGTCATGATATTTTATATTATTTTTTTATAGATATAATAAGATAAAAATGAATAGTAATATAAAATGTTGACGTTGCTTAACCGTGACCACACGAGGGCACAGAAAGGGCACCGGAAGTGGAGGGCACAGGGAGGACACCGGAAATGGAGGGCAGCCTTGTCCCTTTTTTAGAGACTATGACTGTAACCAAATAAATTTAAAGAAACAAGATATGACGTTTTGCAAGCACTGTGCACACAACAACAAATGATGAGATCAAACTTACTATGTATAGTAAGGTTATTAATTTGTTGGAAAATTATAAAGTAAGATGCATAATGCTAAGGAGATTAAAATTTTAAATTAGATATGCAAACTAAAGGTGTCACTAATAGGAAATGAGCACATTAATCGATATTACCACATCATTTGGTTTGCAGAATTTGGTTTAAAAATTGGTCTCCCGCATTACCTAGGTAAGATTAATTTTCCCAGCACAATTTCCTTACAAGGAGGTATTACCAGATACTGGAGTGAATTCTCTTATTTAATTAAGTTAAATATTGGTTGTTAATCAACTAAGTCACAAGCATGGCTAGCTACAAATTAAGCATAATGGATTAACAAAAGAAATGCTTACAATTACCAGTGTGTAAGTAAGAATGATATTAAGATTTTTTTTAAATTTATTAATAATATATAAGAGAAGGAGGAAGGATACGAAACTAATACAATAATTTAGGAAATGGAGTGTTTCGCACTCAAGACACATGAGTAAAAATCCAATACTCTATTTACTAAAATATTAGATCACATGCATGATATTAAGATCATTCCTAGCTTCGGACCCATAATCAAATTGGCCACCATATTCACTTTCACATTGGTTATTCTCCATCTGCTTTGGCACTAAAATATGATCCATTTTATCATAATCCTCAGTATCTATGGCATTGTTCGAACTGTTTACATCAACCCCACTCACCTTTGCAAACTCACAGTCCAGAATTTTGCAAAAATCTTCATCGTTGTCAAAATCCATCGTATAATATTTGGACTTTCCTACCTCTTCTGTTTTTGTTCTTGATGGTCAGTCAACTAAAATTACCATTGTTGACCAAGTTAGCATTTGTGGGCTGTACTCCTAACCGCCACGTTAGGGTTAGGGTTTTAGTCCTGTTGCTGTTGTAGAGTGATAGTTATGCCCCTGTTGTCCCTTCTGCCTGGCCAGAAATCTGGGGCCTGATCAGGGGTTGTGAGATTGTTGCCATTTGATCTGGAATTATTGAATGGTGGCAGATCTTGCTCGCAGATGTGAAATTAATTTTGTCACTCTCCTCCCATTACAAAGTGAATGGGATTTTAAAGTTTCTAAAGTATTGAGTTTAATATTTTTATTTTATTTTTATTTTTACAAACGATAGAAATAAATATTAAATTCTTCTAAACTACCTATAAATTTGTGTGTAAAAGAAACAACAGATTGCTTTAATCAACTTTTCCTTCCTCCAATCAGATTGTCATATTTGATTGGGTTTGTTATTGGCTTCTGCACTTTATTTGTTTTTGTATGGGTATTTTCATCTGCTTCTGCGGTTGTACTTTCTTTGTTTTTGTAGAACGTCTGACTTACAAAATTTTTTTCATCTGCTTCTGAGCGATCGAATTAAACTTTTCAACCACATTCATTCAAAGGATAATAGTGTTGCAGTCACCAATTTTTTCATCAAATTTATTCAGTGTGAGCTCAGACTTACAAAAAATGTAAAAAGAGGCCATATTTAATTTTGAAATAGTCTAAACTCCATACGTGAAATTCAAACTTGAGCGCATCCGCATCGGATGCAAATATATGTTCTAACCAATGTGGCCATCTACAGACATTGAGCCTTTCACTAGTGATTAAAATTTATTTTCAACAAACTTGAGAAATTTAATAAAATGAGAATTTTATAACTCTTAATTACTAAATGATCGATCAAATAATAACGACATTATTGATCAAATATTAGGAAAATTCTTCCATTCTACCAGTATTCGATGACCTAAATTAGTTTGAATTATTGCTCCAATCTAGCAATCATTTTCAGCAGAAACAACACATGATTAAGTCATTTTCTTCCTGCTATTTTGCTAATTAGATATAAGATTAATATTGAAAAGTAAGACCTGTCCATTTATATCATGTAGTGCAATCTGCGCAGATTATAAAGGAAAGGAATGAGAGGTAGAAATGGAGGGGGAGAGTGACGAAAACCAATATACAAGAGAGGAAAAGGAAACATAATATAAAATGACTTTTTTTTCCGAGTCGGGAATGCTCGTTGTTAAAGAGTGTCATCACGTTAGGTGTCAATTCACGAAGTGCTTGATTTTTTAATCAGGAATGGAGTTCATTTGGCTATAGTGTCATCTCAGTCTTCAAATTTTAGACGCAGATGATTTCAATACTTAGATGCGTTCCCTTTGGTAGCGTTTGGTACGCAGATGGGACGGAATGGGACGGAACAGAACGGAACAAAGATTCATGTCATGTTTGGTACTGGCAAGATGGAACAAAACGAAACTAGATTAAATGACTAACTTACCCTTTTTATTTGACTCTCTCTCTCCCGTTTCTCTGCTTTCTCTTCTTCCATTTGACTCTCTCTCTCTCCCGCATGCTCAGATCTCCCAGTAAAAATCAAACCCAGTAAATCAAACCCATACTTTCTCTTCAATTCCAGTAAATCAAACTATTTTCCCCCAATTTAAAACCAACGATATGAAAAGGCGCGAGTGTGGATTCCCAATTTCCATCCACTACCTGGTTTAGCGTAATATCAATTTACCTCCTCCATTTGAAGATTTAACATTAAACACACATTACACACACAATGCCTCAATTCCAAAACATGAAAAACCTCGATTTATCTCTCACAATTTCAGGATTAACATTTCAAATCATTGTGATTATTCAAATCAACAAACGGATAATACAAATTTTAAACCCAGAGAGAGAGGGGGTGGGGGCTTACGGAGAAGGGGAAAGAGCCATTGAGGAGCAACATGGGTTGACGGAAGCCATTGGAAGGTGGATATGGAGCTGCTGCTTTCAGCTGTGTTTCGTAAGAGAGTGAGAGCCGGCGAAAGAAATAGAAGAGAAGAGGAAGAGAGAGCCAACTCAGCCCGAAATCGAGCTCGAATTCATCTGGGTTGCTGGGTAACGAAGCTACGTTTGGGTAACGAAACATTTGGGTTGCTAGGTTTGTGGTGGAGGAGGAGGCTACAGGAGAGAGGGAGGGTAGACAGTGGAATTTTTGTGTTCCACATACGTGGAACAACCAGTTTCGGGGGGGGGGGGGGGGAGGCGGGACGCAAAAACACCCAATTTTTGTCTCATGGAACAGCGCGTTCCACCCATTTTTGGCGTACCAAACGCGGGACGGAACGCCTCGTCCCGTTCTGTCACGTCCTGTCCCACGTACCAAACGCACCCTTTATAATGTGGCATAAATATATAAATATATGGTTCATTTTTTTAAATTCTATTTTTTACTATAACTTCTATTTTACAAAATTTGTTTCATATTTTTTTTAAATTCTATTTTTTCCTATAACTTCCGAAGTCATTATACAACATTAAATTAAACTAAGTAACATGAAACAACATTAGGCAATATTAAACAACATTAAATAACTTTAACCAACATAAAAATTACACAACATAAAAAAAAATTGTTTCATATTTAATTATATTTAAGTTGTAGTTTTTAAATAATAAATTATGTTTGGCCCTATGACCCTTTGGCCCTCGGTTAGAGATGGAGGCAAATATGGTCATATACTGTTCATTAAAATATTAATATCTTGGAGGGCCAAAGGGCTAAAACGAGCTCTCTAGCCAACCCTCGGTTGGAGATGACCTTAGTCTTATAGCCCTCTAAGAAATTAATATTCTAATGAACAATACCAGACCATATTTTTTAGCATCTCCAATTGAGGGGTCAAAGGCTCATAGGCCAAATATAGTCATGTGACAAAAAATCATCTCCAACCGAGATGGCCAAAGGGCTATAGGTCAAACATAATTTATTATTTTAATTGAAGTAATTTGGTTAATTGAATTAAACTACCATATTAAAATAAGGTTTTTAGACATATTATGAGTGTCACTTGTTACTAAATGAATAAATCATTCCTTTGATTGAAGATGTGGTTAATTGAATTAAACTACCATATCAAATTCCAACAATAACCTAGTGTCAGCATGACGCTAGCTAATCTGATAAATTATTTTTAATTATTTTTTAAATTTTAATTTGAGAGGAAGAAAATTAAATAAGGGAAGAAACAATAGCACTGTAGAGTAATGTGAATATTAATTTGGAGGCTGTTAAAGAGGATATCCCGAATTGATTAGGTCAACCATTGTAAATTGTTCATTAGTGATTTATTTCCTTATTTAGCTCTAGTTAGCCTTGATTATAGGCAACTAACTAGGATCGTGATATACATTGTGTGTATAAGAATGTAATCTTGTTTCTATGAATAATAAGAAATCAATTACAACATATCTAGTTTCTTAAGATGGTACCAGAGTGAAAGAACTGGGAAACACATCAAAGAAGAAATACAAACCCTAGCAACCATAGCCATGGGCGACAAACTAGAAAAGTCGACCTCTTCAGGCATGACTTTGTATCAAAAGTGGGAAAACCCTAATTATCCACTCTATCTTCATCACTCGGATCAACCTAGTGCGGTGCTTGTGCCGCAGCCGCTTATGGAAGACAACTATGGTATATGGGTCCAATCCATGACCATGGCTTTGATGGTCAAAAACAAGTTAGGCCTCGTCGATGGGACGATCGAGAAACCAAGCGATGACCAGATTGAAGAATTTCAACAATGGAACCGATGCAACAACCTAGTGAAAACATGGTTGCTTGGCTCCATGTCTAAAGAGATCTCGGGAAGTGTCATACACTGCAAAGATGCACGGCAGATGTGGCTCGACCTGCAAGAGAGATTTTCTCATGTGAACATTGTTCAACTTTTCCATATAGAGAAAGAAATTCATGACTGTGTGCAAAACAGTATGACAGTAAGCTCTTATTTTACTAAACTTAAGAGTTTTTGGGATGAACGTGACGCCTTGGTTTCGATCCCTTCATGTCGTTGTGAGACAAAGAGATAGATAACATCGTATGTTGAAACTCATAAAACGATGAAGTTTCTCATGGGTTTAAATGATTCGTATGCCACAGTTCGTAGCAGCACCTTGTTGTTAGAACCACTGCCTACTGTCAACAAAGCCTATACATTTGTTCTTCGACATGAGAAACAAGCTGAAGTCTCGAATGGGAAACATACTATCCAACCAGAAGCAGCTGTGTTTGCTGTGAAGGGTGTTGGCCGCGACACTGAATTAGACGATGGAGGGTCGCGCTGTGGAAAGTGCAACAAGACAAATCATCTTACAAAGAACTATCGTGCTCACCTTAAATGCACTTTTTGTGGCTGGAAATGTCACACATTTGACTACTGTCACAAAAGAAAAGCAGCCGCTGAAATTGAGTCAAACCGTTCATTCTCTTCCAAAGGAAATCAAGTTACATCTCATGACAAAAAGGAGGTGATGTCTAGCTTTCCTTTCTCTCGGGAAAATTGCAAGCAAATTCTCAACATGTTGAACAAAAACAAGCCTTCCTTTGCCAACCAAGTCGGTAATTCCTCACATGTAGAAGAACTTTCAGGTAAAGCTTTCTCCTTTACATATAATGGCAAGCTAAATGTCTGGATTTCAGACAGCGGTGCCACAGACCACATTGTTTGTAGTTCTGATCTTCTCACCCATTCCAGGGAAGTTGCAAACCATACAGTTGAATTACCAAATGGTTCCCTTGCCTAGGTTACCCACATTGGACAAATAATTTTCTCACCCCACTTCATGCTTGACAATGTCTTATATGTACTTCTTTTTAAGCTCAACTTAATATCCATAAGCAAGTTAGCATATGACTCATTCTATATCACCATATTTCTAAACCATTTTTGTATCATACAAGACCTACGCTCGGGGAAAATGATTGGGACGGGCAGTGAACGGAAGGGGCTATACTACCTTGATCCACCTAAGAAAGGAACATGCAATCACGTTCAAGTTGCTTCTCCACACTGTTGGCATCAACGTCTCGGACATCCCTCTCCCACAGCTTCTTCGATATTTCCCTTTTTCACTAATAAACCTTGTGCTTCCAATAACTGTTTGATTTGTCCATTAGCCAAACAAACCAGATTACCTTTCTCATTAAGCTCCATTTATAGTCAATCTTGTTTTAAGTTAATACATATTGATATTTGGGATGGTTACCAAGTTACGTCTCTTTCAGGAGCCAAATACTTTCTTACTATAGTAGATGACCATAGTAGGAGCCCATGGGTTTATTTAATGAAGCATAAGTCAGATACATGAACCCTCTTAGTCCAATTCATTCATATGGTCGAAACTCAATTCAATGCTAAAGTCAAAATCGTGCGAAGTGATAATGGTCCTGAATTTAAACTTGCAAGTTTTTACGCCTCCAAAGGCATCATCCATCAATCTAGTTGTGTTAACACACCTCAACAAAACGGTTGCTGAACGCAAACATCGGCACTTACCCAATATGCCTAGAGCGTTGCTTTTCCAAGCTTCTCTTCCTAAATGTTTCTGGGGAGATGCCATTCTTGCTGCGACATATCTCATCAATAGGACACCAACCCTTCTCCTCCAAGGGAAAACACCATATGAAAAATTGTTCCACAAGACACCAAACTATTCTCACTTGCGTGTCTTTGGTTGTCTGTGCTTTGCTTCCACTCATGCCCAACGACCTTCCAAATTTGATCCCCGTGCAAGTCGTTGTATCTTCTTTGGTTACCCTTATGGTAAAAAATGTTATCGACTCTTTGATCTCAACCTTAAGAAGATCTTTGTTTCACGAGATGTTGTGTTCTTTGAGGATTAATTCCCTTACCAGAATCATGAACTTTCCATTGTGCCACCACCATCCTCTTCACAACCCATTTCCATTTTTCCATTGACCACTGATCCCTCTCCTCCATTTTCCCTTTCAGATTCTTCCTCAGAGGCATTTCCTTATCTTTCTCCTTGTCCTCCTAACCTACCAGAGCCTACTTCACCATCTCCTACTACCACCACCATTCCTCCTTCTCCAACCCTACTCCATTCTCCAACTTCACCCTCTCACACACCTCCTGCTACTCCTGCCTCCCCTCATCTCCGTCGAGGCACGCGACCAATCAAACCATCCACGTTTTTGCAGGACTTTCACATTGAGGCAGTTATTCCTTCACGTGCGGCTCCCACATCCTCCACGAGCATGGTCACATCCCCAGGTACTTCTCATTCCCTTTCTCATTATTTTTCTTATGGTCGTTTGTCCTCTCACCATAAAGCCTTCACCACTGTTCTCACCCTCCTAAAAAAACCTACTAGTTTTCAACAGGCTGTTCAAGATCCTATGTGGCGTGAAGCCATGCAGCATGAAATTGCTGCTCTTCAAGCCAACCACACTTGGACTTTCATGCCTTTGCCACTTCACAAACATCATATTGGCTGCAAATGGGTCTATAAAATCAAGCTCAAACCTGATGGCAGTCTCGAGCGGTACAAGGCACGCCTTGTTGCGAAAGGATACAGTCAAATCGAGGGTGTTGATCATCGGGAAACTTTTGCCCCGGTTGCCAAACTGACCACGGTTCGTGTTCTTCTCAGCATAGCTTCGATACAAGGGTGGCACTTGCACCAACTTGACGTGAATAATGCGTTCTTGTATGGTGATTTATATGAAGATGTCTATATGTCCTTGCTGCCTGGATTTGGATGAAAGTGGGAGACTCGTGTATGCAAATTAAATAAATCCATTTATGGCTTAAAGCACGCCTCGAGGCAATGGTTTATCAAGCTCTCCACTGCTCTCAAGGCTGCTGGATTCCATCAATCACGGTCTGACTACTCGTTATTTGTCCGAAGCCGTCAAGGTAGCTTCATAGCCTTGTTGGTTTATGTTGATGACGTGATACTTGCAGGGAATAATTTGCAAGAGATAGAAGACACCAAGCAATTCCTTTCCTCACGATTCAAACTAAAGGACTTGGGGCAGCTTAAATACTTCTTGGGGATAGAAGTTGCAAGATCAAAGAAGGGAATCACTCTATGTCAACGTAAATATGAGTTGGAAATATTAGAAGACACGGGGTTTCTTGGTGCCAAACCCTCTCGGGTTCCTTTGGAATAAAATTTATCTCTCACACAAGCAGATAGGGAATTACTAAGTGATCCGTCTTCATATAGGCGACTCGTGGGCAAATTAATCTATTTGACCATCACAAGACCTAACCTAACTTATGCAGTTCATGTATTAAGTCAGTTCATGGATAAGCCACGACAGCCACATCTTGAAGCAGCACACAAAGTTCTAAAGTACATCAAGCAAGCTCCTGGACAAGGAATATTTCTTCCTTCCACATGGTCATTACAACTACAAGCATTTTGTGATGCTAATTGGGCTCGATGTAAGGACACCAGAAGATCGATAACTGGTTATTGCATCTTACTTGGTCAAGCGCCAATTTCTTGGAAGACAAAGAAATAAAGCACTGTGTCTCGTTCCATTGCAAAAGTAGAATATCGTTCTATGGCAACTACGTGTTGTGAAGTCACATGGTTGAAGAACATCTTGACAGATTTGCGAGTAGAACATGCACAACCTGTTACGCTATTCTGTGACAACCAAGCGGCTTTGCACATCTCCTCAAAACCCGGTATTTAATGAACGAACAAAGCACATAGAGATAGACTGCCATGTAATGCGTGAAAAGATTCAAGGAAGGATGATACGAACAGTCTATGTACGAACAACGGACCAGCCAGCTGACATGTTTACCAAGGCACTGGGTTCAGTCCAGTTTGAAGTCTTACTTACCTAGTTGGGTGTTATCAATATACACTCCAACTTGAGGGGGAGTGTTAAAGAGGATGTCCCGGATTGATTAGGTCAACCATTGTAAATTGTTCATTAGTGATTTATTTCCTTATTTAGCTCTAGTTAGCCTTGATTATAGGCAACTAACTAGGATCGTGATATACACTGTGTATAAGAATGTAATCTTGTTTCTGTGAATAATAAGAAATCAATTACAACATATCTAGTTTCTTAAGAGAGGCATCATTGTTTCTGAGGAAGGACGACACGTGCCCTGCAAAGAGTGGTCCACATTAATGGATTTTAAGCCATGTTTCGCTCTCAGCTGGGACTATTGTCTTTGGAATCTGTGCAATTTCGGTCTCAGTGAGCTGGGCGCACATATTCCCTCCTGTTTTGGGCTGCTGGAGACGGGCTGGCTGGCTGGCTCTTTTCGACCAACCCGCTAGCCTGGTGGATGAAATATGGTCCAATGGGGCTCACAAATTCTTTGGTCTAACCCTCAGTTAGAGTCAATTTTTGTATCATTTCGGACTATTTTTCACCTTATACCCTCTAACCATATCAGTTGAAGATTACCTTATTTTTTATCACAAAACCGCATGCAGTGTTAGACTACTAGAAATGAATCACGGATTAACTGATTGTAATTAACAGAAAATTGTAGCTTGATTAATTCAGACTGATTGTTAAAAAATATTGTAGGAAAGACTGATTTTAATTAGACAATCCTCTGCTTCCTGAGGTAGTAGGATTTTGGGACAAGCCCAATATTTCTAACAGGTCCATCCACGCTTTGAAGAGTGAGAGTCAACAGTGGGAAAGAAAGTATAGCTATAGAGTCCACGTCCTGTTTGATTTCAAGACCTTGATGACTATAGTAAACTACTGAAATTGTTATCAGGACAGCTATTTGAAATCAGTGAACGACTGAACTTGTTATCTCACAAATAACATTTTATGATCAACCAAAATAGCAAGGGCAGTTAATTGAACTTCAATACTGAACCCACCAGAAGATCCAGGGATATATTTAGATATGGAAAGACAAGTATGCATTACAGCACTCATATAGAAGTACTTGCAATCCTACAGACAGTTAAATTCATGACGAATATTAACCATATGCTGCTGACTTGTAGTGAAACTCATCGATCGTGGAATATATTAAGCCTTCCTCCTCAAGAGATCTGATAGCTTCCCTGGA